GGATAGTGGAATAATAAGGGTAAGTTTAACAAGTAAAGAAATATTTGGAAATTCAGTATAAAAATATGGTTTGGTAGAAAAAATAAAATGCCACCCATTGATACAATTAAATTCCCAAATAGATTTCATCATTTCTTTAACTAATCCCATTCTTGTTTTAATTCCTGTTTATCAATTATTGCTAAAATTATTTTTCTATCACTAGTTTTCTTATCATTACCATAAACTTCAGCTAGTATTTCAATTTCGGTATTTCTTTACGAGATAATAATCTTGGTTCAAAAATTTTCATAGCATTATATAAATTGGTGTCTGGAAAGCGAGATTTTAAACTTTGAATTAATGCTAGTGCAAATTCAAACATTGAAGATAGAAGTTGTTCTGGAGTTATAAAATTTTCTGTCATATATGTTGATAAGTGCGTTCCATATATTGAAGGTGTATTATTATATTCAATAAATTGTATTGTAATTGCTGATATTGTTGTATCTAAATCAGCTAAAAATTTTGTAGCTAATACGAAGTTTAAATTTAAACAATCAATCAATTTTTAGCCTTTTTTTTATCTTGCTTATTGTCAGCTATTATAAAATCATGATTCAAAGCATCCTTAACAGAATCAAAAATTTGATATAAATTATGAACTGTATTAGACATAGAAAACCATCGAGTATTAATAATATTTAGTAAACATAATTGTGGCTCATCATTAGTTTCTTGAATCATTTTTAAATTTAACATTCGCTTATATGAGCCACTAAAATAATTATATAATAATTTACATATAGATTCATATTCTTTAAAATATAGGACTTCTTTTGTCGCATCTTGTTCTGCAAGATGTAATTGATGTGCAATACAGTGTACAGATGTCATAAATGGATTCAAATTTTTAAATCTTGTTGAGATGCCAGTTTTTGAACCTAAAATAAATATTATATAATAATAATTAATAAGTGTATATAATCGTTATAATAAAAGAGCTGATATTTCTACACTTATTTAAATTAGATCTTTAATCGAAGGTCTTTTAACAGCAACCTATTAAATTTTAATAAACTTTCTTATTTGAATTCTGTAAATTCACAGAATTCAAATAAAAAAAAATACATCAAATTTTATAAAATAGTTATTGAGATATCTTTGATCAAAGTCAAGAAATATTTTGCTGCAATTTATATTTTAATAAACAAATTTTTTTAAAACTTCGATCGAAGATATCTTGAGAATTATCTTATAAAATTCGATAAGCTTTTTTTATTTGAATTCTATAAATTCTTAAAATTAAAATAAAAAAAAAGTATACCAAATTTCATAGGTAGTTGTTAGAATATCTTCAATTAAAATAAGAAGATATTCTACTATAGTTTGGGGCGTTTAAAATTTTTTTTTTAAAACTTTAAAGATATTTAACAACTACCCTGTAACTTTTTTTAATTTAAATTTTATAAACCCATAGAATTCAAAATAAAAAAGTATATCAAATTTCATAAGATAATTGTCGAGATATCTTCAAAGTCAGAAAACATTTTGCTGCAGCTTATATTTGATAAGGTATTTAAAATTTTTTTAAATGTTTGATCAAAGATATCACGATAACTATCTCATAAAATTCAGTATATTTCTTTTATTTGAATCTATAAATTTTTAAAATTTAAATAAAAAAAAAAATTTATCAAAATTTATTAGATAGCTGTTGAAATACCTTCGATTAAAATAAGTAATCTATATGGGTGTGGGGTGTAAAAATATTGGCTCTAATAAAAATATATATTTACCTATTATTGTCGAAGCACCATCACTACCAAAATATACAATATTCTCAATATTCAAGCCTTTGTCAGATATAAATTTCTTTAATATTTCAAAAATATATTCTGCTCTAC